ACGAAGATAAGCCCTTAAAAGTCGTCCCCAAACAAGTAAATATCGTCCAGGGCCCCGAATATAACTTTAAAATAAAATAAAATAAAGCTTTGATTGCATTGCCTTTGCCTTTGCGTTGAAAATTCCTTTCCGTGGAATGCAAAAAAAATAAATTAACAAAGAAATATAATATTGTTAGTAATTTGATTTGATTTGATTTGACGTTACTATGAAGCCCCATCTACGCTTCAGTCTTTAATTTGCATGATATTGTTATGGTTTTTGATTTTTAAAACTCTCTGTTCTGCCTGTCCATGGTCGTTAAACACAAGAAACTGGAGATTTAGAAAGTCAAATTATTCTTTTAAGAGGGTCGCTGTCAATTCTGCGCAGGATTAGAATTTCTGGCTCCACAATCCGTGTTATTGCAATACTGCGTCAAGCAGGCTTGAACAGGAAGAGAGATAGGGATAAGAACTCGGAAAAGTTTCAGGATTTAAAGTCCTGCTGTAAGTTGGAAATTTTCATCTGTTAAAGAGGAAAAGTTAAGGGTTTTAAGATTTTTTAGGGTTTGAGTTCTTCTCTGAGTCAGTTTTTGTTAGGAGCATTGCAGCATTTGATCAAATGGAAGTTATGGGATATTGGTAAAACTAGTTCTTGTTAGAAGCTTGATGGGGGGGGCTTAGATATTTTGGGTTTTGGCTACTCAAGTGAGATTGATGATCTGGGTTTTGTTTTTCAAGTGATTCTGTGATATGGGTTTGGTTCAAAGATGGTTCTTTTGATTTGCTTCGGCAGATAATTGCTTTGGTGATTTAGTTTCTCTGTTTATAACCAGAACAATCAACCTGTTGTGGCTCCGAGAAGGTTACTGAGTTTTGAAGTAAGAGAAGGTTTCGTGGTTTATGGCTTGGTTGGTAACGTTTGGTGATTGAATGAATTGGAATTTTAAAGATTGTATATTTGGATTTGCGTAGGATTTCAAATTTGTTGGTAAGAATTGCTCAAATTATTGGTGTTCTTGCTTCGCCTGAATTAATGTCTGAGATGGGAAGGTTTCATTAAGGTAGAGAGATTTTGGAATGTAGATAAGGGATCATTGATTTCTTTTGGTCAGTGGTAACAAACTTGATGGCGACCACTTCGCCACAACCAAATTCTTCTCCTCCTGCAGTGCCACCGGCTTCTAACACCAGTCCACCACCACCGTCCACCGTTGTTCCACCACCACAGAACTCTCCTCAACCTCCTACACCTTCCCCACCTCAGTCTAATGCAAACCCACCGGGCTTCTCACCTCCTTCAACTCAATCCCCTAGTCCAAATGTTTCCACAACAACATCACCAGCCCCTTCATTCCCGTCTCCTCCTCCGCCTGTTTCTCCTCCATCCCTTCCATCCAACTCCAGTCCTCCACCACCAGCATCACCACCATCAATTCCACCTCCTCCACCACCAGTGCCACAGCCATCACCATCTACTGCTTCACCACCACCACCACCACCACCACCAGCAGCACCTATAAAGAAATCACCTCCTCCACCACCAGTGCCGATGCCATCACCGGGAACCCCACCAAATTCACCACCGTCGAGCCCGTCTCCTCCAGCACGGGCACCTGGGCCCCCGCCAAATTCAGCAGCTACTGCTTCACCACCATCCCCATCACGAACTCCAAACACTTCATCTCCTCCGCCACCAGTGCCACAGCCATCACCAGGGTCCCCACCAAATTCAACACCGTCAAGCCCGTCTCCACCACCGCCAACACCTAGGCCAGCATCGAGAACCCCACCAAATTCACCAGCTCCTACTTCACCACCACCACAATCCCCACCAGCAGGATCACCACCAAAAGTGCCTCCAGCACCCGTACCAGGATCTCGTAGTGATCCGTCTTCACCCGCACGTAGTTCTCAACCCACACCTCCATCTCCACCTTCACCGCCACCATCTATAACAAGACCAGCATCTCCTCAAGTTCCAGTTGTGAATAATTCTCCTCCCTCCTCAAATAGTCCAGCTGTGAATAATCCTTCTTCTCTTGCTCCAGAAAGTTCAAACCCCAGTAGTAATGGTGGCATTGGCGTAGGAGGTGCAGTTGCCATTTTTATTGCTGTAGGAATCATAGTGCTTAGCCTTATGGGTCTTGCCATCTGGTGCTTGAGGAAGCGGAAGAGGAAGCTTGCCAATCTCAATGGTGGTTATGTCATGCCATCCCCTATAGGATCTTCCCCTAGATCAGGTAAACCCTTTACAAGCTGCAGTACTGCTTCTTTAACATGTTATGGCTCTCCCTTTCGTTAGTAAGGTATAAGTGATAACCAACTCAAAACATTCAAATTTTTTGAACAAAAATCCAATTGAATTTGGTGTTTCAGCTATTATAATTGAAATAATTGTCCTTGTGACTTCCTTTCATCCACAATTGGATTATTGTTTTACAAAATGATGATTTTGGGCGTTCAAATGATATGCTGCTTCTGAATAAAGAGAAAAAGGAAAAATGGAAAAAATGTAAATGTAGTTCAATGTTCTTGTTTTAACTTGAAGATGTGGAAGTGGAAGAATATGACGCCCATTTAATAAATATATGTTTCTTTTAGTACCATCTGTGGCTGGGAGTAAGAAGCGGAAAAGTTTGAACCTAGATTCTTGTTTATCATTTATTGTCTTCTCATATGACAAATCCAAAAGAGAAGTTTACTGGTGGATCCTAGTTTGATCAATTTCTTAAGCTTTTTTTTAATATTAGTATAGGTCTAGTTGTTTAGGAAGTTCATGACATTGATATGTCTTGTTTCCAGATTCATTCTTAATAAAGACACACTCCTCAGCACCTCTTGTGGGAAGTAGTTCTGGGAGTGATGTGACTTCAACCACAGAGCCTGGTGGTTTAGGCAATTCAAGGCCGTGGTTTACATATGAGGAATTAGTAAAAGCCACAAATGGGTTTTCAGAACAAAATCTCTTGGGCGAAGGTGGATTTGGTGCTGTCTATAAAGGGTGCTTACCAGATGGAAGGGAGGTGGCAGTAAAGCAGCTAAAAATTGGCGGAGGCCAGGGAGAGAGAGAATTTAAAGCTGAAGTTGAAATTATTAGTCGCATACACCACCGCCATTTGGTTTCACTTGTGGGCTACTGCATATCTAAGAGCCAAAGACTGCTTGTATATGATTATGTCCCTAATAATACCCTTTATTTCCATCTTCATGGTAAGGCTATAACTGAGCTTCTTTGGAATCTTGGTTCTTCAGAATGGATGACTAATATTGTGTTGTTCCCCTTTCTTTTATACTTTTTTAGGAGAAGGTAGGCCAGTTCTGGATTGGGCAACACGCATTAAAATTGCTGCTGGTGCAGCTCGTGGAATAACTTATCTCCATGAAGACTGTAAGTGTCTATGCTGTTTCTGCTTTGATTGCAGAGTGATATAACTTCCAAATTACATAAAACAGGGACTTCTATTATGCTTTGCATGATTTATTTGGCATCATATATGTTTCTGCTTTAGTTCTTAGTAGTATGGCATCACTGGCATCATTACATAATGACAATGACGAGTTATTTTTGTAGCTTGTTATTTGAGGAGGTGAAACAGGAACTTATCACTAAGTAATGCAATTATATTGTTCTTCTTATCATTTCAAATTTAATTTTGTATTACTTGTGAACTTGTTTTTGGCAATTATCTATGAAAAATTTACATTTAGTTGATGAAATTGTCTGTGCTTATTACTAATACTTTAAAATTGTATTATATGTCAGGTCATCCTCGAATTATTCACAGAGACATCAAGTCATCTAACATCCTTTTAGATAATAACTTTGAAGCTCAGGTATGCATAATCCTCCTTTTATGTGTTATCTCAAACTACAATGAACTGTTATTTCTGTTTGTGTCACTATGTTTTTATAATTTCTGGTGTTCTACTTTACAGGTTTCAGATTTTGGGCTTGCAAAGTTAGCTCTTGATGCTAATACTCACATAACAACACGTGTTATGGGAACTTTTGGGTAGGCTCTTAATTCATCAATAAGATAGATTTTGGCTGACTCCTACATTCATTTTTATGGGGGCATGGAGTAGTTTTTAGGTATAGCTGTTGGTGGGATAAGATTTTCCACTTTTTTCTGTGCATAACAAATATATATCAACCATGTTGTATTTGTTGTTCAGATACATGGCCCCTGAATATGCAACAAGTGGCAAATTGACCGAGAAATCTGATGTATTTTCTTTTGGAGTTGTGCTTTTGGAGCTCATCACTGGACGGAAGCCTGTAGACACTTCTCAGCCCATGGGAGATGAAAGTCTGGTTGAATGGGTAAATCTTCAACACAAGCAAAAATTACTGTCCCAATATTCGGAATCATCCATTTTACATTCCAGTGACCATGCATATGATGCATCAAACTGTTTTTGGCTGAGTTTTTCACTTTGTATTTTTTTGGCCATGCTTTCATAATAATATTCTATGGATTGATTGTGGCTGTGTTTTCTTCTGCTTTCTTTAGTTTCTTATGATCCCTAGGGGAAAAGAAACAATTCTTCCCTCTGTTCATACAACTCAGAATGATGTTACACGATGGCAGATGTTGTGCCTCAAACTCTTTGAGACCTTAGTCTATACTCTTTCATTTTTGCTTCATACTGCTGCTCTGCATCTGAAGCTTGAGTTTTCCCTTTGTTTGATCTGTAAAGAAATAGCAAAGCTTTGGGTTTTCCTGACATCCTCAACTAGAGGATATTAGAGAAAATCAATGTTCTTTCATGAGTTGATTCATTATTTGTTGTGGAACAAAGATGACAAATAAAAACTTTTACTAAATTATATTTTTATGGGAGGAGGTGTTTTATTTCTTTCAAAACTAAGTTGGTACCCAGAAGTCAGAACGCATATTCATATGCATGCTTAGAAAGTTCTGACAAAGGAAAATAACAAGAAGATGCATGAGAATGAAAGTCTTTAAGAAAAAGTTCTAAAGAAATTGATTTTATGCTTCAGGCCCGACCTTTGCTGAGTCATGCGCTGGATACTGAGGAATATGAAAGTCTGGCAGATCCAAGGCTTGGTGGAAACTATGTTAATAGTGAAATGTTTCAAATGGTTGAGGCTGCTGCAGCCTGTGTGAGGCATTTAGCTGCCAGGAGACCAAGCATGGGACAGGTAACAGAAACTTAATACTGCAGAAATGGGGAACTTTTTCTTCTATCTAATAATATAGATGTTGGAATACGATATTCTTGTACATCGTCCTGAGTCTATCTATGTTTCTCTCAGATTGTAAGAGCTTTTGATAGCTTTGCTACAGTGGATCTATGTAACGGAATGAGAGTGGGTGAAAGTGAGGTATTTAACTCTGCACAGCAATCTCAAGAAATCAGATGGTTTCGGAGGATGGCCTTTGGTAGTCAAAGTTACAGTACAGAGTATTTTAGTGAATCTAATCAACATGATAAATTTTGAGGCACGAGGGATGAATTCATCTGAACCAGAAAGCTTGCAAGCTGAGCTGGAGGCCTATTTAGGTTGGGAAATCTGCAGAGTTTTGCTCACCCAAGATAGTAGTTAATCTGTTTCTGGCATTAACCATCCCAGGTGATTAACTGCCTCTATACGTGTATCTAGCTTCGATCTTAGGCTTTTAGCTTCCTAATATACTATGCATTTTTTTAGTTTCTTCACAAATTCTTTCATCTTGTAATTACTCCATGCAAATTTTGTTCCATCCAATGTTGATGATAAAGCTTCCATACAAGGATTTTCGTTTTCCCTTAAATATGTGACTACTACACATTTCAAATGCATAAAGGAAAATGCATGCAGTAAAAGAATATATAGTAAAGGGAACCTTGTTTTATAGTTCAAACAGCACCGGACTGTAAAACAGGGATCATGGGATGGGATGGGAGGGAGGGCCCCAATATTAGGGGACCTAACTCCCATTCAATGGTTAATATAGTGCAATTCAGTATAGTTTAGACTGTACAACACTTTTTCGTACCATAAAGGAAATCCTGTTTTATAGTTTGGATCATACAGGACTATAAAATATGAACTATTGAATGGGAGGGAAAGCTCCAAATCAGGGGGTTCAACCTGCCTCCAATAGTTAATGTAGTGTAGTTTAGTACAGTTTAGACTGCCCTACAGTTTTTCGTATTGTAAATATACCTTGGGATTTATCTGACCTTAGCCTTCTCTTTGGGAATTGCATGCACCGGCACCTATCTCTCACCATGACACCAATATTGTCACTTGAGCTCTATGCTTCTTGGTTCTTAGCAACTTCGACCAAATTTATTGTGTCTCAAGAATGGCTTTTATATGTCAGAGAGTGGAGAAAATTGAAATAGGTGAAGTGAAGAAAGGTGAAGGAGATACCCTAAAGTTGAGACAGCTCATGTTTTCTTAGCGTCCAATATTCTATCATATAGATTGCCTGCATCCAAAGCTACGGTTGTGTAATCCGGAAATTCATTATGTAACAGCAAAGTTTGAAGGCATGACCAATTGCCTCCCTCTTACATTTCCCACGTATAAGTCTTTCCCTTGGGGAGAAGGAACAGATTCCTTCACAAGATATGATTTCCATAGATTATTTTTTTCTTCTCTTCCTTCTTTCTTCTTCTTCCATCTTACAGCCATGGAAGACTGCAACATGCTCGTAGCAGATTGCGTTGTGATATCGTGCTGCTGCCAGTGCTTGATTCTGCAAATCATCTTCTTTTTTCTGAGACTTCCTTGCAAATTGATATTGAAAACAAAAGAATTCGCGAAGAAGCTTCGAAGTAGAAGAAAAATGGGTATGACGATTGAGTCAGTAAACGGTGGATATAGATTTCAAGAAGAGTTTGTAGAGTTGCATAGAAGATCTATAAGCATACAGATAATTGAAGCATTTCCAGTAGAGAGAGTCCAGGGATATCAGTGTTGTATGGAAGAAGTTGAGAAGGTGTTTGATGAATTGTCTCTGAGAGGAGAGTTTGCATTTGGGAGCTTTTGGCGTAGGGAGGGATCATCAGGAAGCTCCATACAGGAAATTGATATTGATAGCATTAACTTTGTACATTATGAATTAATAGAACTGGGCTCTATGTGCAAAAACCAATTGATACGATGAGCTTTTATCCATTTCTTGATTACGTCCGTTGAGTTCTAAAGCAGAACGTTTTCTATTATTATTATTATTTGATTTAGGGGTGAAGATGTACTTAAATCAGTTGCAGGATATTTTCAAATTAATTCTTGCTCAGTTTTGATAAAGGTAAGTCCTTCACATTAATATTGTAAAATTTATAAAGAATTATTTTTTTTATTAGTTTCTCTAAAAAATCAAACATTATCAATAAAATAAAAAATAAATTCTTTTACTTACTAAACCATAATTCCTTAAGCAAACGTTTTCTATTAATTGTTCTATAGGATGAAATGGTGTTCTTATGGACTCCCCCGTCTCTCTTATACATTCAGCATGGTTAGTTGGCTACAGGTTTTACCCTACATTTTCTTCACAAAGTTCGTTCGTTCTTTCAAAGATAGTTTTTCGTAAATCCCTTCCTTCGGGGTGAATGACGTATTTTAACCAGATCATAGAGGTAGACGTGACTCAATTTACTTCCGTGGATACAAGCAAGCTGTCCTCGATTATATTATTCAGGCTGAGTCATAGGAGAATGCCACCATGCCAGTGGTTCCCTCTTTTTGCTTCGTTTGACAATGTCAATCAATAATTGGGAATGCAGTTTAAAAATCAATAATTGGGAAAATGAGAAAGACACAGGAAACTGGAATCAAACCATGACAGCAAGTCAATGTAGAACGTTATTTTCTTTGACCTCCAGAAAACTCAATGAAGTAGAATGTTATCAATGCATAGAAGATCTAATCCAAAAATAAGCAATTTATGTACTGCATCCAGCTAAAATCCCATGTGCCCTGCAAATTAATTATGCCTAAAGCCCGGGTGGTTATTGCCGCACACATGATATGTTAAAGCTACACAAATTTAGGTTTTTTTTTTTTTTTTAAATAATTAATTATGATATTAA